TGTATACAGTATATGGTACTACGGTACAGTATATACCAAATACTAAATAATTTGCAGTAACCAAACAATCTAGTTAAGTCTATTATCAGATCCTTAAGACTCGGTTAGATGGCGTGAGGGAGTGTGTATGTTATCAAATCCTTCTTTCAGTGTATGAAGAAAACGACGAGAGCAATATGAATCGCAGTGATTTCACGTGAAAGCAAGGACAGAGTCGAATTTCTGATATTTACGACATTTCCGCCGCTAAGAAATTACTAAAAATAAGAAATGAATCGGGAACGACCGCGTCCCAGTATCGAACAATTGAATTATTCAGATCGTCAAAACGTGGCTCGGAATACAAGACCGCCGGCATGCAAGACCGGTTGACCCTGTTTTGCCCTGCTGTCAATTTTGTTATATACGCGCGCACGGAGTTCGCCGCATTCATAATTGTATTCCTCGTACATCGTGCGGCTTTGTGTCATCAAGCGACGTCGATCGAGCAATCGCGCGGATAAATTATTTACGAATCCCCCGCCCGATATATCGATTTTCGCCGTTGACATTTCGCATGCCGATCACGTCGCGCGAACGATTAAAAAGTTGATGCCTTCGGGCGAAATCATTTTTTTTTTTCCCCTCCAACTCCCTCGCGCGATTTTACGGCGCGACGATAAAGGTCAGAGCGCGATTGAGTGCCGTATAAAATATGAGCTTTGCACCCAACACTTATTCGTCCGCGCGCACATGCGAATCGTAAAACGTTATTTCATCCTGTTTTGCTCAATGAAATTCGCCGAAAAAATTCGTGCCTCTCGTTTTATATTCTGTAACAATACACTGAAAACTGAGCTTTAATCTACACGACAATCGACAACCAAACCGCGTTTCGGTTGAAGGAGACCAAATTTTTAGTCCTTACGAACCGAATTTCTTACAACCGGAAATTCTATTTCCTTCGACCAAAATGCGCTTAGTTGTGCATTGTTAGATAAATTCAATCAAACTCACTTTTCAGTGTACGTTCTCCTTCCTTATCATAATATCTTCGATATTTATATCGTTTCTATACAGACAATTGAAGAAGATCAAATAAGATAAGATGAGATTATTTAATTCCGCTCGAGTTAAAAATCTCCGCCATTTGTGAGTCACTGAATTAAATCGCGGCGTACCTGCCTTGCGTTAAATGCACGGTGGGAACAGAACGCATAAAGAAATGAATGGATCCTCCAGTCGCGAAAACGATTAAGAAGTTGATGTGTGTCTCCGTCTCTGTGCTGGAACGCAAAGGGAATCTCGACGTAACGCGCCGAATGGAACTGGAGCATTGTCAAGGAGGAAGACCCTGACTTTAGAAACTTTTCTAACCACGCCGCTATCCGAACGTAATGAAATAAAGTGGAACCCGTGAGGAAAGAAATCTCACAATGTCAACAATTCTGGGCGGCGAGAATAGCGCTTTGAGAGGAGGAAACGCGCACGATGAGACCGCAGAAGGAGACTCCATTCTTCGCGCGTATACTTTCGCAAATAATTTCGCTCATGCCTTGTCCTGTGCGAGCAACGCCGCTTTTCGCGGGATCGCGCGAAAAATCGACGCCTTAACGAGGACATAAATTTTTCAGATCTCTCTCGTAAAGCCCGACAACGCTTCCCAGCCGTCACCCTCGTCTAAGAGCCATCCTCCGCGATCAATGCACTTTCATGACACCCCGTATATACCTACAGCCCGAGGCGATGCGTGGGTGGGCGTCTCGCGATGAGCCAACAGGACCCGAGGAGCATCAGCGTCTCCGCAAACCCGGGGTGGGCGCAGAACGGAGCGCCCTGTACAAATTCTTCGCTTTGAAAAAATGTTCGGCGTGAGTCAGACGTTACACGGTGGAGAACGGAAAAGGATACTGCCGCGAGTGTTTCGACATACGCGGCTATTTATACGCGCCTCGCTATTGTTCCGCGAACATGATTCGAAATTTCGTCCCCGGTCATTATACGGCAATTGTCATTTTTGGAAAAACGCCTGCTCGCTCGAAAACGGAATTAATTGTCTATTAGTCACCCGATGAATTTTCCGTCTCATTTGGAAAACATCAAGAAAGAATGTTCCCATATTTTAATATTAATAATGTCGTTTTTATTTAATCGCTTTTATTTAATATTTCTAAGCCTTCGAATGATTATTAATAACTGAATATTTCTGCTTTCTGTCTCCTCCCTCCCCCGCCCCTCTCTCTCTCTCTCTCTCTCTTTTTCTCTCTCTCTCTCGTATTATGTGCTCAGCATAGATTAATTTAAGGCACTACCGAGCTTATCAGTGACTAACGGTAAACAATGAAGCGTGATAAGAGCGATAAAGACAGCCACACACGCTCGTTTGATTTAATTAGATTTTAATGAAGACGATAGAGCTGACATCACGCGACATCGTCGAGACGAGACGTTTGTTCCCCGCTGGGAGACGCTCCGGTGTTATGACGACCTCGTAAAATATCTGCTCGATACGGTATATAATACACGGGAGCGCGACGCGAAGGAGACGGCGAGAGCGGGAAAACGGAGAACGGTAGGTAGCGGCAATCGCATTAAAATCATATAACCGCGCACCGAGCGATAAACATTCATCTCCAGGCGAATGTAAGGCTCGCCTTTTTTCATATCACCGGTACGCGACGCGGTGAGCGACATAAAACAGCCGTAATTTTCCCGTCGATACAACGAAAGATCGCGGTGCACGTAAAATTCGACGCAAACGACAGACGTAAAGCCAGTCGACGCGCCTTCTGAAGAGCGCCGTCTCGCTTCCAAGTTATTTAGATCGTGAATAAAAGAAACTACGGCTGTGAGAGAGAAGGAGGGAGAAAAAAAGTGGGTGAGAGAGACAGAGAGAGAGAGACGGAAATCAGTTGATATTTTCGCAATGATCGCAGCGACAGAAGCTTCGATGAAGTAAGACGCGCGCGCGTATCTCGACACGTCTGAAATGTGTAACAATGAAACGAAAATGAATCCCGCCGTGTAATCGGACAAAGAGCGCGATTAGCATGAGACTCGATGAACCGTCGTCGTGTCTACGCAAAGTGAGCTCCGGTTCGCTTTCGTTCGCGTACGCGACGAATAAGAAGTCTACACGAGACGGGACACGCCGAACGGCTCATTGTTCCCGAGAGGAGACAATGACGTGTGGGCAAAGCACTGGGCGAAATTTTCTGCCCGACAATGGCTCAATAAGCTGAAAAGAAGTCGCGAAAAATCGTCTCGCAATACGTAAGCGTATCGTATATATGTCTCGCGTGAATGCGACATCGTGACTGGAAGATACCGGCGGTGCGATATTTATAGCTTCGTTACCTTCGCCGCTGGTTTGCAGAATGAGTTTTTCGTTTCGCGCGCGTGTTTAATTTCGCTCGCCTCTCCGAGACGCGGACGATATCTCGCGCGTAAGACGGGCGTAAAATCAGGCTGAGATCGCGTTAGCACGGGGTAACCTTGCATCGCGCTCTCAGGACGCGATTTCGGGGTCACTTGACGTCTCGGAAAATAATCCGCAAGCTTCCGTTTCGACGTACGCGTCTCCTTTCTCCTTAATCGTCTTCTCGGACGTCAAGCGATCTCAGCATCCCGACTCGGCTGCTGACGAGACTCGCTCGTCTCCTAATTTTCACGCTCGTGTATTTATAAAGACGAAACGACTCCGTTTTTAATGTGCAATAAGCGCGCAGGTGCGCGCGTAATCGGCCGTCGAATCAATTAACATAACCGATTGTTGCGCGATCCGCGGTCTAATGGAGTTCTTTCCGCGGTAACAAGGCAATTATAATCGCATTATCATCCGACAGTTGTAATCCCGAAGCGGTTGATTGACGAGCTACAATTGTACTTTCTATTAGATTGGAATTACCGAGGAAGGAGAAAGAGATGGATAAAAAATTTATGTTACGTACCCAAATCACTGGAAATATCTCTTCCTCTCCTATTTCTTTTAATTTCTTCTTTTCTATCTCTTTTTTCCTCAATTGGTAATAATAATGAGCCTTTCTATTAAAATATACCGAAACAATAGTACGTAATTATATTAATTTACGATGATAGTTTCTCGGTCCTCGGGTTCCGTCGAACACGAATCTCGTTTGAAGCTTCGCGTAAATTGTTACCCTCAGACTTTCTTTGCGTCGTTACAACGCCAAGCATCACGCGCAACGTTCGAAGGTATGCAACAAAAACGGATGATAATGGTACACCTTGGCGAAAGTGCAAGGTTAAGTCGGACCGACCTCTCACACCGAACACGCGACGATATTATATTATACACCGTTTGCGCGACACGCTTTCTGCGTTGCAAGGATGTCATTGTCGCACTACGTAATCAAGGTCGCTCATCATCTTGATGGGATCGCGTGATTTAAATTCCCGTCATTTACGCGCGCAGGTGGTCCTTGCTTAACGCGGTCGCGTCCTTATTAACGCGTCTTGTTTCATAAGTGCCTCTTTCCGTTGTAGAACTATGACTATTAAATTGATAAGGACAAATGAAATCCTCGTCTCTTTTACTCACTTATCGCATGCTCGCAGCACAAACAATCCGATCAAACAATTATACCCGTCGATCGATGTGTGACGAACGGAACTTTTCATTCGGAAATGACCAAGTTGCACGTAAAGACCTTTCGGATTTTCCTTACGTACGCTTCAGTCAAAGTCTTTGCAAGTAATACATTTAGTTGTGACTGTAATTCGGTGAGAAAAAAATTCACCAATCACAGTCGATCATCCTTCGATCGTAAGAAGAATAATTCAATTATTATCGGTCGATTTTCTTATGGATTTATGGCGACGGCAAAAAATGTCTTCTTACGCGCGAAGGCCTTGAAAGTGCACGTAAGCAAAATCCGAAAGTAAGAGCACGGCTTGTCGACACGATGTCACCGCAGAACTCTCGAATTATCCTTGAATATCGACAATCCCGCGTGCAACGTGGATCAATTTGAGAGAGACAAGATCTACTTTACGCTTACCCTCACCGCACTTTCGGACGTTCTCCGGCCGGATTTCGAGAAGCCGCTTTCGTCGCGTAGCTCAGGTCGCATGGATGATCACCGTTGACGAGGCTGTTGATTGATCGGACGGACGTCTCGCGAACGGTGGACAAACTGGCTGGACCACAATCGCCGGTACCGTTCGGTTAATCCGATGCGAGGCTCATCCTTTTCAACGAAACGCGCGGGCCGATTCGCGTACGACGAGCCTTGTGGCTTCTTTCACGAGCGCGGTGTGTGATTCTCGCAGTGCGATTTATCTCGCGCATTACGTACATCGGGGAAACCCCCGGCCATCACTCCGGTCACCAACGGAAGTAAATAGACGCGCGTTTTTCGCGAGGTTCAAACGTTCCGGCGTCCGACGAGCGTTGTCGATGTATCGTGAACGACCGGTGAGAGTCTGTCGCGTTCCCCTTGTCCTCCAGCCGCGGAGAGAAACGTAAACAGGCCGCGCGGTGTCTCGACGGAAGGTGTCGATCCCCAGGCACGATACACGCAGCCAGCCGCGGTTCGACAGTCGGCGTACACTGACGGCGAAGCGGCGGCGAAGAGCCACGCGACTCCGACGCGAAAGCGAAGCCGCGCAAGATGGCCGCCGGCTAGCGCGCATGTCAGGTAAGCGAAGCGCGTGTTATCGCGCCCATGCCTCCGCTGTCGAACGCTGCGATAAAGAATACCCTTAGTGATTCCCCGAAACCTACTGCCGACGACTGCTAACGATATATTGATGTCGAGCCACAAATCGTATTTCCCTGGATTTCCAGTCGTGAAATATTTGGAATGGTTCGCGACTCTTTGAGTTTCGAACTCGATTCAAATATTTCGAAAGTTCGGGGGAGGTAGGGAGCGAAGGGACGCCACCATGCGACGCCTGCGGGAAACAATTTCTCGTCTGTTTTCTCAGCTGAATCTCGCTTGAGAAATTTACGCACCGTGGAAGAAATAATCTTGTGTAAATCGATGATAGATATTCTCATATGCAAGGAAGAATATTATATTCTTCGATTTTTAGTCTTGATTTGAGCGCAAGTAATACTTGCACCGATACGAATTCAATCGAATCGGGACTAAAAGAATCTTCGAAGTAAACTATAATATTCTTGCTTACACGGGAAAAAACGTTTGGCCGCATTAAACAGAAAGAGAACAACACGGATATGTTTTGATCGAAGGGGACAGAATTTCTGGTTATAAGTAATTCCATTTCCTCCAATCAAAACGCGTCCGTCCCCTCTCTAATTGATGCAACTAGACTTTTTTCCGTATATGTATGAGAATATTTATTATTGATTTAAGATTAACTTTTTCCCCATCGCATTGAAAGCGTGAGAATCTCGTGTGTATTTTCATACACGCTTCAAAGTGTATGTATATTTCTTGAACTAGTGCAGCTAGTTTAACTAAAAGGAGCAAACCGTCCTCCTTACCATTTACTCAACCTCTCGGCCCGGAGAGCGCGAATTTCGCGAGGAAGATGAACCCGTGCGCCCTCGTCAACGATTACACGCGACGCCGTTCTCCGGCGCCGAATCTACTTTCCAGGCGGATGAAAATCATCTCCGCGCCGGATTGGAAATCCCGTTTCAGCCGCGAGCAATTAACCACCCCGCTGTTCGGTCCTCAGGGCGTTCGACCCTGCAAGGAATGCAAGGTAACTGCGAATTTCCGGTAGGCTATATTCTAAGCGGGATGGGCGTTCGTTCAAACTCATTCCGTCGCTCGCGTCCGTCTCGCTCTCGCAATCGCCTCGGGTGCCGTTCGCTTCCGATGCTCGCCGATCCGCAGGCTATCTCTTTTCACTCTTCGTCATTCGATTGCAATTACGCGGACGTAGCCACCCTTACGCAAAGTCGCCGAATATCCGAAGTGTCATCCGTGCACCCGGACTAATTGACATCTCCCTTGGGCCTCGTAATTTCGACATCGTATCGCGTAAACGCCGGAATTAGGAACACGAAGTGTCCCACTTGGCCAACCTTGCTTATAATTCTAACACATGTTTTGGTCGCGTTATGCTCGAGCTTTCCTTTTCGATTTTGCACCGGTTCTTAAAGTAGAATCGATTTAATCGCTTAATTAAATTGTTTAATCGACTAATTAATTAAATTTACCTTTTAATTGTAATTGGGATAGATTTCAATGTAATATGCAACTAATGGCGTTAAATTATCCGTCCATTACTCCTAAAGACCGGTAATCATTTCTATATTTGGTTAAATATATGGGTTTAAATAGTTATAAGAAAAAGACAATAGAGCATGTATAAGCGATTAAAGTAATTAGTATAATTATATATAAAACTGAAATTCATAGAAATAAGGCATAAATAAATGAGTGTGATGAGTTCAAGATGTAAGTCAAATCCCCTTCTTGACATATGAAGTAATAAATATATATTATTTCAATAAAAATTGTATTACTATATACACGCACACGCACACATACACACAAATAGATTCTAATTAAATTTGGGTAAGTTTCAAATATGTAAACAAATGATAGAATTTGTATCTAATTATCGTACCAGAGCGGTTTACATATCTAATACGTTTACATATCTAACGATATTTATCTACTTATCTAACGATGTCCTAACAAAAATGTCTGCAACAAGCACAGAACGGATAATTCTGTCGGAAGCTCTGGCACGCTCGTTTTTCCGAGAGGAATTCCGCGCTCCCGATGTCGGTCCTCCTACGTCGCGGAAAAAGCTCGCTCGGCACGATCATTACCACCTGTTTCTGCAACAGGTGTGCCGAGATCGTTAAGTGAATTGCAAAAGGGCGACGATTCGCGGTATGCGAGATTACAAACAAGCGTGCGCGGCCGTGCACACGCGAGCATTTGCGAACGCATCCCGCGGCCATGTACCACGCTTCTAATACATGGCTATTATGTACGGTCAAACGGATGTCGAGAACCGTAAATATATCGCATTCTGTCATTATGAGCCGCGCTAAGCCGTGATTTGCCGCGAACAGTTGCACGATGAAGTAATCAAAATCACGCATTCGACAGCGCGGAGATGTGTTACGCCACCGCATCCCTGCGTCTGATGCTGAAGAACATAGATGTATCCGAGATATTACGCCGCTACCTTCATACCTTTGAAAGCCTATTCGTTAAACGTGAGATTGTTCATATTGAACGTGAGAAAAACCGATTTGCACTGACAGAATACTGCCTCGTCCAATTCGAATCAATATTTGAACCGTGGATCAATGTGTCCGTTCAAGGGTGCATCCATAATTTCGGTAGGTAGAGTAACATTTAATTGACCGGTCGAGTAGAAAGAGCAAATATTTCTTTATCTTACGTTTGATTTAAAACGCCACTCTACCCGTCGAGTAGGATTTCTAAACACACTCCAAGTTGTTTTTCTCAGTCCCAAGGGGAACACTTCGGTTTCCGAGCGTTCTCTACTCCGTGATAGTTATCGTCGGGAAATGAAAGAAATGTAGGAAAAATAATGGAGGAAATGTAAGAGTCGGAGCGTACTTTCTTCTCGCTTAATTTACACGTTGCGTCCACCCCGTCATTCTCGAAGCAGGAATTGGCAGTCATCCACACCTTTGTAATATGAGGAAAGCGGTTCAGAGAGGACCATCGATATATTCAATCGCAGTGTCGATCGGGATGAGAAACCGACCACGAGGCTGCGGTAAATCGAAGAACAATACGGAGTACCGGCAAGGAAGTCCATTGTTACGTACAGAATACCGCTGCAGAAATCCATTACGTATAAGAAAAATTATAATGCGATGCAGAGGTACGATGATATACTGAGGAAAAGGACTTAAAAATTTATTTGTGAAATATAAGGTTTATTATATAGAATTAAACGTTTATTTAAATACAAAAAAAAACATTTTACTCCTAGTAAATAAACTATAAATAAGCTAGTAAATAAACTAATTAATAAGAAAACTTAAGTGTATATATAATGCGGAATAATATAAAATATAATAAAAGATAATGACAGACCTGGCAGGATGAACGGACAGAATAAATAACTAGGATCAGTTGCAACAACAGCGCCCGATTTGCCAACTTATTTCGAAATGTCAGTTTCTCCTCCCTTCGTTTTTCAATATTGCAACGGGAAATTGTTGGTATTTGTTATACAACGCGAGCACATTAAGTATCTTTAATATTGCGAAATCCGATCTCTCTCTCTCTCTCTTTTATATCGTACACGTATGAAAGTTCCTCGTGACGAGTCGCACGCGCCTAAATGCGTGTTAAGCCCCATCCTGGCACGCAACAGGAAACGAGAGTGGTATGAATCGGACAATGCGCTTGAAAAAGCGTGCAACAATACGAGAAAACGGCGCGACAGCCGGGTCTGGCACGCATTTGGGAGTGCCGAGGCCGATATTGCACGCGACATACGGGCGAACCTTCGTGAAATCGCGTCGTTCAACGGGGTCGACGGACACGCGTGCGAACACCGTGCGTTCCTCGGCGTTAACCGAGTTTCATCGTCGGGCCACGCGCTCTCCCGGCTGTGTATTTTCTCTATCGTAGCCGCGTAAAGTCGGCGACGGCACGTGCGAGGAGCTCCTCTCCTCCGAATCGTAGTTTCGACGTCGCGCATTTGCATACTACTACGTTTGTACGCGATACTACGTTGTCACCGGTACCGTTACAAACGAGAAATTATCATTCCGTACGCCTATAAATACTACGGAGGGCGGTAGAGGTGATACCGAAACTGGTTTCCGGGTAATTGCCGGGAGACACAAAACCGTCTGCGGTCCAGCAGCTGCACGGCTGCGCGGATAACCGGTTTCCCTGTGCGCGGGCAACCCTTCGTACTTCGAGCGATACTCCGGGTGCGCGCATCCGCAGGCGCGTCGAAAATGTCGATGCGACGGAGACGCGGCGAGAAAGAAGTGTGACGAGTACAAATTCTCGACGTCGAGACAATCCGACGTACCCACGCATGTAATTACATTAGCTCCGGACATGCGAATCAACGAAGTATTCATTCCCGCCTCTCGCTGATCCCCGATTTTTTTTACACGTGACAGGTTTATTTTGAATAAAGAAATAAGTTTCACAAAGTATGCTCGGCTAAATATTATTATGCTCAGTTTTATACATATATTATGATAATATTATCAGAATATGTATCGTAAGAAAATTATGCGGCAAAGAATAAAGAGATAGTTTTATACAAGTGTTACATCCTTTTAGATGAGTTAATATACTTGATTTATATAAATGAAAAGTTCGCTTCAGTGTTTGAAATAATTTCGAGTAAGGTTAATATAAAAATATGTGAGAAAGTGACACGATCGAAGCCTAAGATAGTCGTAAAACAATAACATGACTATTTCTCAATATTGATCGCAAAAAATGATTTAAAAAAATCTGTAAAAATGCATTTGTAAGTATGTAAATATTTCCACCTGATGATTGCCTGTTGACAGAGCAAAATTATTTTCAAATTGATTGTATATAAGATAGTATTTCTTCCTTCAAATATTCTGTAGGCGTGCCCGAGCAACTACTGCCACTGGATGTATTCCAGGAAAATTCCAAAATAGCTGTGGGAATCAATCGTAATTCTAAAAGCGTTTTGTCGAGACACTCCTCCATTAGCTTTATCCCGTCCGGTGTCATCAATGAAAAGGGCACTTTATAATAGGCTAGATTCTCAGTTACAAATTCAAGTACATTTTGGAACTTCTCGTGCACCATAAAAGTACCTTGCAATATTAACCCATCTGGAAATTTAATGCGTAGCACTGCGAATTTATACCTCCTAAGTGCACGCTGTTCATCTTTCTCCCTCATAGCCTTTGTTCTCAGCATTTGGTTCCTTTCTACAGCTTCCGTCCTGATAATAATTAACGCTTTTGTTTAATTACTCCTTCACAAACGGGGGAGGAGATGTCATTTTGCTAAATAGTGAGCTCACCGCAATTGTTGTTCCTTTTTTATCTCTTCTAAAGATATCGTGAAAAAACTAGGTGGCAATTCATTCCTTACTCTAGCTTGACAAGGCATTAATACTTGTAGATTTCTATCTAACTCAATAGGAATCTGTTCGGCAGATTTCAGAGCGTCATATAAAACCGTAAGCTCCTCGATACCGCCATTGTCGGGATCCCATACTAGGAAATCTTCTTCGTTCCCGTTATTCAGTAACATCTTTTGATCAAAATTAGCTGCTTTCAAGAAATCCAACGCTCCTTCAATGGGCAAAACTTTGTCCTGCAGGGATATCGAAATCATACATAAGTCACAATAAATTAGCTTAAATTAGCTGAAATTATTTCAAATTGGCTAATAAAAAGTAATATTATACTTGGAATATTCTATTGGACATTCTAATCTTCCAATATTTCTCCATGTCGGGATTCTTAATAATATTCTCCAAGTATTTTCCAAGCGTCTCCACACAATTCTCAATCTTTTCCCTCCCGCTGTTGCAATTTTGAATAATTAAGCTCGCTATTAATCCGGGTTCCTCTCCCCCTCGTTCGTCATATAAAAAGTCTCTTATTTTCTTCTTCCATTGATCTCGCGGCAATATTTCATCAGATATGTATGGACAACGGAAAAATACATCAACTACTGCATACATGGAAGGATCTTCAATTCTATTCTTTTTTTCTTGCAGTGCTGTACTTTCTGCCTGTTGTGAATTTTGCTGTGCTTTTCTTTCCAATTCCATCTCACGCTTAACACGTGCTTGAATAGCGGCATATGACCTTTAAAGAACCATAATGTTTAACAAATCAAGCATAAAAAATGGAATTTCTACTAATGTCAATTACATATATATAAGATACATTTGAGCAATAATAAATTATCATGCCTGACACATCTTTGATCATGATACCATGACAAGATGCAACAATACATATATAAAATGTAATATATAAAAGTTTATCTTAACAATACATACGTATTGAATCTCGGCTTATCAACTTTCTTCGCTTCTAATCTTGCTAAGGCAGCTTGGCCTGCTATTTTAGCTTCTTCTGTAGGTTCTGCTCTTAACACTGGTCTTGCAGGTACTGGTGGAGCTAATCTACTACTAGTAGATTCCGTCAACCTATACATAAGTACAAATTAAGCAATGCAGTTAAACGTTATTAATCCACTAGATGGTTAAATATCTCCACATATAGTACATATATATCAAAGTATATATTGTTATTGCAATTACTTGTATCCCTTTCCTGCATTCATAAACTTAGCATCCTTCTTCTTCTGTTGAAAAAATGACTTTATCTTATCAGCCATATTTACTAGATATTACTGCTGTCCGACAGAAATATATTACTCAGTTGAGGGATTGCAATCTTCAGAGGAAGCACCTGTAATATAAAACATACTGAAATTATTTTGCTTTGCCTTGATTGTCAAACTATATAGCTTCCAATGTCATGTCGGGACGATAATGAGATAGAGGTGAGAATATTGACTGTGTTCACTTTAACAACACGATGCGAGAAAAGGTGTTTTGCTCACGCACGGTCTTACCCGCTTTCATAAACTGCTCCGTAATTCTGGAGCCGTAAATGTGCCATGCAACGAAGATCAACGCGACGCTACTGACGAAAGTCAACAGGAAGACCTTGAGCAGTTGAAGCTGAAAATCGTCGAACGACAGCAACGCTACCAATTCACGGAACAGATCGCGAAGTCTCAACGAGATCTCGTCATCAAAGGTAACAACGTCATTAGAATTAAAGGTTAGCCCGAAAGTCGTCGACAGTAACGAGCACAGGCTGAGCACGCATTTATTGATCGCCTCCGACAAATAGTTCGTCCAAGGACACGCCGAATCCTCGCATGCGTTGCTCATCACATGAAAGAGTTTCTGGATACGTGAATTTCCACTCGCACCACTCGTATTCGTTTTTACGTCACACCACACAGCTGGTTAACGTCAAATCTATGAGAAACAATTGGTACAGGCTTTCCTAAATCATCACGCTACACTAAGCGTCAATAGTGCCCTCCTGTTCCAGATGTTTCACGATAGAAATATTTCCCGATCGAACGTATCGTGTCTAGATATTCGTGCATCGTGGCTCACAGTTTCTGATGTTTCCGCGACCATCCGCGACTCCGACATCGAAAGCTGCAGTGAGTCCGATTTAGTGCACGACGAGAGTGCATGTGGCACCAATTTTTAAGAAAATATCAAATAATACACCACAGAATCTAAAGCGAACAGCAATATTACAATAATGTGAACTTTACTCTTTAATTTACATACCCGCAGATTGCAGTGCCACTGTTTTCGCTGAATTATTTAACGTTGAGGTAAAAATAACACTTTAATTGCTCGCAGTAAGCGAATGAAACAGTGTACGATATTCGCTAAACAATGAAGAAAAGGTTGAAAATTCCCTCTAAGATGCACTTATTGCATTTTTCATGAAAATTAATCTCCAGTGTAGACATTCAATTAAAGGATAAGATTGAGAACTGAACAGTAGCCATTTTTCGCTCAACTCATTCATTCTTGGCAATAAACAGCGATAAGTTATGAATTTAATATTCTTAAGAAGTGGAAACTCCAAGTTTCGAATTATTTTCTGAATTATCTTGCTATCGTTATTTTCGTTGAAGTTACAGCCTGTTGAATTCTATGCATGTTCAATATATAAGGAAAAAGTGCGCCTGACTAGCCTTTATGGCGCACTACTTGAGAAATAAAAGAGCCCTCTAACGATAGGCCAATCATTCTATAGTCGGGTCTCATAAGGTCTATTCGTTTTCGCTGCACCGCTGAACTAGTGCAATAAGTTGAAGCGAGACAAGTATATATTTTCTCACTTCAACTTATTACACTAGTTCAGCGGTGCAGCGAAAACGAACAGACCTATATATAAACCGTCTTAAGTTCATCTTCAGATGCCGTACGGCTCATTTCATTGGCTACGAAGAAGTATCTAAAGATGAATTTAAGACTGCCCAAATACAAGATCTAACTATGAATACCTATAAAGACTGTAAATGGATAATATACAATATTTTGACTGAGCGTTAAAAAGTAGGGATCGAGATGTATGAAAAAAAGGATGCATTCTGTTTTGTGTCCTTGCGTCCTCTCGTGTTCGCGCATACACGCATAAAACGTCTGTGGAAGGAAGTTATTCGCGTTTATTAAGGTCCTTGCACAATGCCAGGCAACGGGAACAAAGAATAACACAAGCAATAGATTTCCAATCTATCGGAATCGTGTAAATGCAGCAATTGATACACGGTTTCCGATGGGTTGGAAATCTATTGCCTGTGTTATTCTTTGTTCCTGCTGTCTGGCATTGTGCAAAGACCTTTACAGTTCACCACACTACTGCAATGCTACTGTTCCGAAATACGTGGACATCATTATGGTCGCACTGTCAGTGAAATAAGAACATACCTTTCGTGTTCTCAACGGAACCAATCACATTGAGCAATTCAGCTAATTGGCCAATGTGATTGGTCAATCTGTTAATTGTCGATTAGATTTTAATTCAGATTTAATCGTGATGGAAACGGGTATGATTTGATTAATTCGCGTCGGTGAAACTGAATCTTTATGCTCGTTTCTATAAAATGATTTAAAACATGGGTCCATATTTTGAACGCTATTATGATATTAGCACGCTAACAAGACAAGAAATATGAGAAATATGATAAATATTTTCAGAATTGCTTGTTCTAAATGTAGCGGTAACAATGGGATCCGATTGATATCTATCAACCACAGGCTACATCGATTGGACGACATTAGAAGGTCACTAAATCACGATTGTGGTTGGTGGTGGTTAATTGCGACGTGGTCAGTCGAGGTCCGATAACGGTGCTCTATCAGGAAACATCTAGAAACGCGTGTTCATAGGAAAATTCTTGTTCACTACTGACAAAATGATTTGTAGCGCACTAACATCGTTACAAGCACGTTCAGAATACGGGTGATGGCCTGCAGCAACACGACAGGGCAAATTTTTAATTAATCGATTGATCAAAGTTGAATAATGCGCAAGCATCTAACGTCCGAAATGATAAAGTTGAATAAATTACGCAAAATTACAATTTTGCTCACATTTAGTATACGATACTTACGTGTTGCGTTCTACCTATCGATGGTATTTTCAATTCAGGTGCAAAACTATGCAACACGTGTGGCTTTTACGTTCCACATCCCTCGTTTTCTCCTGACGAACTGAACCGTTGTAAATATTTATACCAATAATTGCCTTCGCTTAGAAAGAATACGTTTTATACGCATGCGCGAACGAAAGAGAACACAAGGACACAAAACAGAGCGCATCCTTTTTTACGTGCATCGCCACCTCCATTTTTCAAATAAAAGCGAACTCTCGGTCTAGATATATTACAAGCATGTTTTCTATTCCTGCATCGGCTGCACTTACTATACCAGCTTGCATTGCTTCTTTTCTTCTCTTTTTCCCACTAAATCTCAAGGAGATGAAAAGAGGACCAGTACAAATTAGTGCAACAGAAACGGAAAACAGACCCTTTACTAATGGCTACGTTCAAAAAACATCAGTGAACAGAAGTCATTGATTATTGGTCTTTACTATTAGATCCTTAAATTTAGACCAATTATCTTGACGAATTCAACAGTAGTGTAACTATTGTTTTCATGAATCATTTGTGTCTTCTGAACTAATTGTGAGTCATATCATGACTTTCAATCCTCGACACTCGTAACGGAAACTTTAGGAACTAAAAGTCGACCTTAATACCAATAGCCCGGAATTCGAACTTTTTCAACCAACATTTATCAACATCTGAGACTCAAACCCTTCCAGCGAGTCGCGATATATCCGACTTTAACGATCAATATTTCAAGAACTAAAGCAAAATGCCGAATGCGCTGGTGAAATATTTTTTAATATAGTCAATTTAAATTTAACGTAGTTTTACAATATTTGATTACGTAAACGATTGGTCGATGTGTAACCATTTTCAACAACGCGCTTATCGACCGTGCAATGCTTTAATATGGTAAAACTATACTGAAAAATATTTGATGCATATTTCATATATTACCTTATATATATAAATATATTTATATATTAGTTTTCTCATTAAAAATATTATAACACTTGTATTTTTATTAACATGTCGACATGTCGTTTTCGCAGGGAAGGGAATCCAGTGTACACTTAATTGCATTAATACAGAAGATTTAGCTAAAAAAAAACCTCTTCTATGACGTGTGAGCTCGGTTGAGACGTCGCGTCCACGAGGTGGCGCTGAACGCGCTGTAAAAAAGTATACTAAGCCCGCGAGCCCCTGCTCTATCTAGTCTTCGCTGGGCAGTGACAGTGCTTTCTATGTCGTAATTGGAGGGTAGTCGCGAGTTCCGTCTGTCAATTGATTAGTGTAATGGCTGTAGTGTATACGTCGTGATCGAATTACCGTAGGCCGCAGGCGTAATCAGTGCGTATTTAATACATAAAATCGTGAAGAAAGGATCGGCAGACCATGGTTCAGCAATACCAATCGCCCGTACGGGTTTATAAGCACCCCTTTGCTCTTGTCATGATGGTCTGTTTATTATATTATTCAGCCTTCGAACTTAGCTGTCATGAAATATTCATTACATTCCGTTCTCTCCTATAGCCTTCACGATACACATGTTATGTCCCAGCTAATCCAATAACCGATTCCTCGCATAAATACTCATTCTAATCTATATACAAGAACAGCTTTCTGACATTCTTTTAAATGTCACATTTTTTTCCTTCAAGTCATGTGACATACAAGTCATTTAATTATCGATGATGTCATTTAATTATTCGTAATCTGTCTTTTTTGTCATGAAATACGACTTAGTAAAAAATGACAGACCTATTGTAGTTCTGTGTATAAAGCAATTATGTTAAATCTTTTTTTGCAGGCATACGAGCGTAGATTTCCTACTTGTCCGCAGATACCAGTTTTTGTCGGATGCGAAGTTATGCTGGATGAAGAGAGCAAGGATGGTGCTATGAGAACCACGGAAAGACGATGTAAATTGAATGTTGAAGCACCTTATATCTTAAAGAAGGTTTGTCTATAAGATCTGTATATTGGGAAATATTTCCCAATCATGTGAGACCAAATATATCCACAAACTGATTGGAATCATTTTTATTGAAGTACCTCATGCTTACTAATATATTATTTTTTTTTAGATAATTGGTGTAGATTTTGTATACTTTATTCAGAAGAACGTTTTAGATAGACGTAATCATGTTTTAGAAATAGAAGCATACAACGAAAGCTTTGCTTCTAGGGTAAATGTTATTGAAAAATGTAGATATTTTGTGAGTATTATGCACAGTTTCATTGATCTTTTACAATACAATCTATGTTCTTTTATGTTAGATAATTTTTATATTGATCTTTGTATTCTCTAAATTACATGAGAAATAATGAGGTTAATATATTTCATACTTAGATTCATCCTGAAAATCCAGACTGGACTTGCTTTGAACAAACGGCAAGTTTAGACATCAGAAATTTCTTTGGTTTTGAAAACTCAATGGAAAAATTAGCAATGAAGCAGTATGCTCAAAATATTGCTAAAGTAAGATATAATAATATTCTCTACTGCACGCACACGCACTGAAAGAAAGATTACGACGAAATAATAGTAAATCAATCATTCTTATTGAATGTAATTTGTCATTTTTTTAAATTTAAGGGTAAAGAAATTATCGAATTCTTCATAAATCAATTGAAGGAAGAAGGTATTACTTATGTCTCTCCATGGAAAGATCCGCAAGAAAAATCACCTGAAGAAGAAAAGTAAGTCCTTAAATATTACATATTAGAGTCTACACATCTTGATTGCATAAATTCCATGAGATATTAATTGTAAGGGAACATCATCATGGACGAGCACTTCAGACATCACGAGCACGAGTGCTTTGATTATTGTGTGAAATAATATTTAAAACTTTCAAAATTGTAACATCTTATAATTTTAATTTCCAGCAGTAAAAATTTAACACATTTCACCTAAATTCATATTAACAAATTATATTGAGCAATTATTTTCGGTCTGCAATGGTTACTTTTTTTATATAGGAAAAATGTGGACGAAAATAATGACAAAGAATTATGTAATGCCGACAGCAAACTGCCTAGCAACAGAGGTATGGCATCTTTGACATATATATAATCTGTACACAAGTGATTGTGTATATGATAAGTAACTGTGCTTTATCTTCCTATTGTTGAATTTTAGAGATGCAACTGTCCTCGGATTACATAGAGAGATATCTAGGAAAACTAGATATGCTGCAGGAAAGCAAATTAGTTCAACTCAGGCATAGCATAGAGGAATTAAGGGGAAGTTCTGTACCGGGATACGCAACTCTTCTACGATTCCTGCGAGCCGCAGAATTCTCAGTCGAAAAGGCTAGAGAAATGTTGACGCAGTCCTTACATTGGAGGAAAAAGCATCAGATCGATAAGCTTCTTGATGAATACGAAATGCCGCAAGTAATTAAGGACTATTTCCCCGGTGGCTGGCATCACTTTGACAAAGGTAATCACTTGATAAGAAAAACTTTTCTGAAAATGTCAAATGTAAGATTGTACGCTATAAAAATTTATAAGTCGATAGATTAAAAAATTTATTTTATAGTACAGTACCTTCTATTTATATATACCTTTGATGTAGATGGACGACCCTTATATATCTTAAGGCTCGGTCAAATGGACGTTAAAGGTCTACTTAAATCGATTGGGGAAGATGAATTGTTATTATTGGTAAATCGGACATCAGTGTTTTAAAGTCCGAAACACTATTTGAAATTAGTTAACAACGTTATTATTATAGGCTTTACATATCTGTGAAGAAGGTCTGCATCTAATGGAGGAAGCTACGACTGTTTGGGGGCATCCAGTTTCGCAATGGACTCTGTTAATAGACTTGGAAGGTTTAAACATGCGGCATTTATGGAGACCTGGGATAAAAGTACGAAAGTTTTAATGAAACAAGTTACTCGTATCTACAATTAATTTCTATTGACTGTGTCATAAATGATTGCAATGCTGAGTTTCGTAACATAAATTTGATTTTTCCTAGGCGTTATTGAGAATAATCGAAATAGTTGAAGCGAATTATCCAGAAACAATGGGAAGGGTTTTGATTATACGAGCGCCCAGGTGTTTCCCTATTTTGTGGACACTCATCAGCACTTTTATTAGTAAGGATCTTAGTTGTCAATCTAACTAAGTTGTATTAATCATTAAATATTTTCGTACTAATATTTCATACATACCGTAATTGCAGACGAAAACACCAGAAAAAAGTTCATCTTTTATTGTGGTACAGATTATCAAGAACAGGGATCTGGAGGTCTCGGTGAATATATTAATCAAGAATTTATTCCCGATTTCCTCGGTGGCTCCTCAGAGGTGAGACTACAACGAAATTCGTTTATTAACTATAACTAATATATATATAAACGCTGGAATTATAATCATAATACAGCATTAATATACACGATTGGTGTAAATATATTTATATATAGACATTTTTACATCAAACATTTAACAGGCCCTAAATATATATTTATACATATACTATTATAATATATATTTTAATTTATTCACCGCTCTTTATTATGAGAGAGAGAGAGAAAAGGAAAAAAAAAATATATATATATGTTTTTTTATGCCGGAATAATCATAAAAATTTTATTGATATATTTTTATTTGGCGTTTTATAAAACTTTTATAAAAATTTGTATAAAAGCATTGTATAAAACGTTTTATAAAAATTTCTGATATTGAGAAAATCAATAATGCCATTTTTAACCTTTATATACACGCTGGAATAACATATCGCATGTTAAATACTAGGAAATGAATATATGCGAAGTCTATAGTATGGTACCTCGAAGGTTTTACATTTTCGACGCAACCGTGAGCAGCGTAAGAAAACGATATAAGATTTGTGTTAAGTATGTTGTAGAACTTGCTTTCTGCAGCTATCTGGCTTTAGTGAACACAGACGATGTGACGTTTTTGTATTTATTCAAAATGCACATTTTACATTATCATGTCTGAAATGTCAGAGAAGTATCGATCATAAAATTCTATCATTCATACATGTATACGTGATGATATCAGCAATTGATAGATACGTAGATATGTCTGTGTCGTGTCGTTATGTCCTTATCTCTATCATACGTCATTCACGTGTTACGTCCGACGCAAAACCAGGTTATTCAAGTCATCTGATATTACAATCTTCCATTTATATTTACATAAACACAAAATCTTGAAAAATAATCCGTTAGGACAGACCACCAAAGGATTTGGACACAGTTTTTAAACCAATCAGAATTCTAGCCGTTGTAAATCATGTAATATGCACGCAAATTCAAGCACTAAATAAGAGATACGCAGTAACATTGTGCACATGAGAAATTAGGTAATTTTGCGTGCTAAAGCTAGTTGAATTACAGAATATCTTAATCAGGCTAATCAGAATATCTTAACAAAAGTCAACATTTTTCGTCAGAGACGATGGTTAAATTTATACGATTCACGAAAAATATAAAAAAAATATCAGATATTTGAAATTTGACTAGCTATTTCATAAAATGTTTGAATCCTTAGTAGTTATATATTAAATGAGTATAATGTGCGTTTATGTAATCAAAACTTTGGTCTATTTTTTTTTATTATAAACATCAGACATACATAATGGATGGTGGAGTGGTGCCGAAGAACTTATATAAATTGGACTTGGAAGGCACCACTGGTGAACACGAACACAGTTTATACCACTCCATCAGCTTGAGCCGTGGCCAAACTCATCATGTGTTCATTGAATCTGACGATCCAGGCGCGGTACTAACATGGGACTTTGATGTGATGCGGCATAACGTTGTCTTCACGGTGCTGCACAATTCGAGAAGTGGCGAAAATGGCGCAACAGCGGGTAACTTTCGACACTAGAAACAATTCTGTAATGAAATGAAAACTTAGATAACAATTCTAAATGTCTGTACAACACACGCATCGCACCGATAAACATTGGTTGTTTGACAGAAATCTCGGAGCTCGCAGTAGGCGGTGATCATGATGTGGTTGTAAAGGAACTAAAAGATAATTATATTAAAGTCGAACCCAGTGTGGTTTGTCACGACGGAGAGAGTATTCAGGTGTGTATTTAGCAGTCGGATATCGCTTTTCACGAAATTATCATTTCGACATTACAGGGAACTCATATCATGCAAGATGCAGGTACTTACGTATTACAATGGCAGAATCAAGAAGACCAAACTGAATTTCTTCCATCTATTAGTTCTCATAAGGCTCAACTTATGTATTTTTATGAGACATTGCCATCCGCGCATTACAGGTACTTACACAATACACATGCAGAACTTACCTTTAGTAATTATATTATTGTAGAATTACATATAGTATAATTTTGTGCCTACATTTTTATTAATTTTTTTCTCCTTTAGGGGTTCAATGATGAGCTTGCAGTCTGCTATAAGCGGAAGATCAGAAGCTAGTTCGTCCTTGTCCAGATGAAAAACAATGGATGCGAACATCGAAATGCAGGAAACATGAGTGTGATTTCATTAACACTATTTTAAACGTATATATGCTATGAAAGCATCTCATAGTTGTGCGTAAAGGGAGGGGTACAATTCAAATTTTAATTATTTTGATATTTTATCTTTCTTCGACGCGATAACTTCCACAACACGTCACCAAGTCCAAACTGCTGCAGGAATCCAATTCTCAAGCCTAAAATACTCACCTCAGTAATGCATAGCCAATGTTATCATATTATAGTTGTTAAACAATGATACAGTGTATAATAATGTTGTCTGTTTAAACATTATTTTCATATAAACTAGATCTCGAAATAAAATCTTATACATTTGATAAATCATATTGCAATGTAAAAAGTAGGAATATTACAACAAGAGCCTGTTGTAATTGCCAGCTCTTAGGTAAATGGTATTTCAAGTGCGCAGTGTAATTAATACATATTAATTTATATACACACACAACATACATATACATATATGTATGTGTGTGTGTGTATAAAGAACTCGAGTAACGAAAAATGTTCTTCCTTCGTAAAATTACATTTTACTCGTATCTTATCTATAGAAGAAAATGTGCATGTATAAATGGATTTTTGTAGGATTATAACGAAACATTCCATTGCTAATTAATAGAATACACTGTGCCGCATTAAGATTAGACCATTTTCCACATACTTCCACGAATCTTTTAATGTAATATGCAAAAGAATTAGCGAGTTATATTAGAATCTCACCAGACAAATAGTAGCTTAAAATATATAGACTAAGTTAAATAAACGTGATGACGCTTTCAAACTTAGGTAAAAAATAGCTGCCTAAAAATTAATGAACACACATGCAAAGTGTTGAATAATTTGTGTGCCAAAGAATTTAAATTAATGAAAAATATTTTCAGTACAACAGGAAGAACGAATTCATAAATTAAAATGAGAGTAAACTAATTTTGAGACTACAGTATACTACTACAGAATACAATTTACAATATAATCATTAAATATGAATGATTATTTTAAGAAGAAGATAATATTTCAATGTGTTATTGTTAATTTTCAGGTAGCTTACAATATATTAATTTGATAGCATAATATTTGTATAAAAATTATTTAACACGACGAAGATTAAAATAACTAAAGTTATGAAGATTAATTCTAAAATGCAGGATATTATATTCATAACATACAAATATTGTAAATAACTATAGTCAATTATACACGGAATAATATAAGAAC